TCAGTCAAACTCCTTTCATACCTTACTCTAGTTTTTCTTTCCTCTGACTCATTGTTTCTATCCTCCCTCCTCTTTCTTTCTCTTCAAACTTTCGTGCAATACTCATGAATACCATTGCACGCGTATATTGTCACGAAAGGAAACATTGTGAAACAAGATAATTATTTGCAAATAACCCTTTCGCGAGCTTGTTTTTATAATTTCAGCCATAAATATAGTAGATAAATGCTGCCATTATCTATTTATAATACACCCATATCTAAAAGTTTGACAGCAAAAAGAATATAATAAGTAAAAATAATCTTTTTCCGAATTTAGAAAAATTTGTTATAAAATAGAAGTAGGAGAGTACAATACTGTGTGTACACATGTACGATAATGCGTACACATATATATAGAATAATACAGTTCACTTTTTTGTATTAACAAAATATAATACAATATATCTTTGCGAGGTTAATTTAACCAAAGTCTACACTTGATAAACATCTAGATAATCCATCCTCGAGATATATTTGATGATTTATCTATGTAGATGGGCAGTGATTTTAGAGATCAATTGGTCCTTGTGCAAGTTAAGGCTAACTTAAGTGCAGAGATATTGCTCGATCAATTATCCTTGGAATAGTTTGCTGGATAACAAGGTTTCCGTGTGTCGAAGATGGCTTGATAATCGTCTTATCACTTTAATGGATTATCAGAAGCGTCCTTCTAGTAATGTATTTTGGCAGGGCAATGTTCTTTTGTAGTTTGTACATTTATATATGGTATACACATCTGACATGCCTTAAAAAGAGAGGAGAAAGTACATTTAAAAAAATAATGTAAATTCTTTATAAAACTTTTTTAATTTAATTTTGATTTTTTTTAAATTTATTCGTTTGAAAAAAACTTTATGAATTTTCTTTTTTATTTAATAATACTTAATATTTAATACTTTTTGTCGTTTTTAGAAGGGTTTGTACTTGCAAATGTAATCACAGTGGGAATATTAGCACCGCACACATAGCTACATCGAGGTGTGGCTTTGAGGATCGATACTTGTGTTAGTTCTCTCTCTTTCTCCCTTTCTCCTTTTCTCTTCCTTTCTCTCCCTTTCTCCCTTTTCTCTCTTTCTCTTCTTTCCTTTTCCTTCTCTTTTACTATCGTTATTGTACCATTATTTTTTTTCCATTACCGCTGCATTAAAGAAAGTCACGCATATTTATGTAATATTCTATTTTTCAAAATGATTACAGCTTCTTTAAGTAGAAAATTATTAATGAATTTTTCCAAACTTTATCTTTAAATCTTCCTTTCTAGAAGGTTGTAAAATGTTTTTATAAAAAAGTAAAGTTTATTTCCTCCGTAAATAAAAACTCATCAATAATGTTCGCTTTAATATTTGAATTCGTTTTTCTGGTTATATCTTGTTAAATCGAAGGAGGGATCATAGAGTGAAAAGGTGGATTTCGGTCCTCTTTTCTTCAATTCTCTCTTATAGTCCTACGAATCATTTGAAAAGGCTGCAGACGGAAAGGTATATTCATATAAACTTAGAACACACAGTACTTCGACTCGCAGCCCGCAATCAATATTGAAATACTATAACTTGAATCGATGGAAAATATTTATTTGCAAATTAAACGCGAAATTGGATATGAGTTTGTGAAAAATATATATATGAAAATAACTATAAAAAGAAATTGGTAATAGAGAATTATAAGCAAAATGGTATAATATTGTTTTATGTACACAATTGGAAGTATTATGCAATTAAAGTATAATTTATTTATAATTAAAGAGTAAAACTTAATGACTATTATTATGTAAAGCAGTTTAAAAATTGTTTCTTTTTTAATTAGTAAAGACTTATAGGTATATATATCCTTTTCCTGACATACTTTGATAATGCTTATTTTAGTTTCTTCTTTTATCTCGGATTTCTGTTTAGGTTTTACTGAATCGAACGCAGTATAAAAAATAAAATAAAATAAAATATGAGCCCGATTCATTATTGATTATTCTAAAAATAAAAAGTGCGAGGGGAAAGTGTAAAATTATAATCAACACAAACTTTGAGAACTTGAATATGTTCTAACTGTTTATTTAATATTAATTAAGTTTATCACTTGTTTATATATTCTTATGAAATTTGTTTCCTTTTTTGTCGCTGATAAATATATGTAAAATTTATAACAATACATACACAAAATATCACGTATTTTAGATTACACCAGTTAGTCTTAATACGAGTATATTGATATGCATCTTCTAATTTGTTCATTTTTTTTTATTTATTAGAACTCTTACCCTGAAATTTATTTTACGTTTCATCTTATGCATGAATGCTTGTCAGATACAATGAAACTTTAAGACGCGAATCCATCATTAATGTCAATCATATTAAAAAAATCGATTGAGGATCAAGAGGAATGAGTAATGGTGTTGTCCATTAATATGATTCCCATCTCATCTACATCATTTTAGTTAAATTTTCTTTATTCGTTAATATGGACGGACACTGATAACAGTCGTTGTTGGAAATACTGGTTTTCGTTTACTTTGCGAGATTTTATGTCAAAGCGAGTTATCGTATTAACACTGCACGTTAACGTGAAATAATACTTCTGTCAGGAAAACTTTTGCTCTCATTATGGCGGTATAGCAACCCAGTTCGTTGATCGATCTCGAAATAGGTACGCATAGAGGACAGCGCATTGCGGCGAAAATGCTGCCGGATAGGTACATAAGACAAATCAAAGTATATTTTAGCGAAGAATAGAGCACATGGAATTTTCCTAAAATAAGTACTTCACAAATAGTAATATTTTATTTCTATTACATTTTGAATTATCTATTAGAATTATTATATATTGCTGAGTAAGTAGGAAAACGTAAGTTAAAATATCAATAAATTGGAAATTTAATTATTTGACTAAATCGTTTTTCTCAACAGGCATCATAAATGTCTTACAATTAAAAAAAGTTTGAGAGTTTCAAGTTTTATATACAAGAGTAGAGATTGAAATTTTATTTTTGCTTAGCATGTTGTTTGTTGCTATGCAAAAAGATACGTCTTGTGTTTACTTGAACCGCGCCGGCAACTTTTGTAACAAAGAAAACTTGTGTATTCATTAAGAAGTCGGATTATCTTGACATTTAGCGCGTAAAATAGCGCCTTGGCATCGTGGAAGGTTTCTTCGTGTCATCCGACAGATATTAATTGAGAATAATTCTTGTTGTTGTTGTATAACGAATGCAAAGAAAAGCGTGTCATTATATGCGTCGTTATATGAGTCATTAAATGACATAGTATTTTTCACGTATAAAAGAATAGGCTATGTCTTCATTTGACTCTGATTAAGCTCAAAGCGGACCCAAATTGCTACTCTCGGATTAAAAGAGCGAGAAAAGTGTTCTTTCTCATTGACTTTAATATTACATGTAGTAATCATAGTAAGTGTTGTTTAAACATTATATAAACGATATTCTCTCGTATTCGAAAATCGATCTCTGTTTTGCAGTCTTCAACTTGTTCAATATCCGTGTAGAAAACTATTGCGCGACCTAAATTTACTATATGATTCGGGGTTCTGTAATTTTAATTTGCCCCCCCCTCCCCCCATATTACGAAATTGATTACTCGCTCTCTTCTATTTTATAAATCTTTAACTGAAATATATTTTCTATACATTTAATAAAGAATTAATTAAAATAATGAATTAACGATATTAGTTGCAAAATAATTTTTTATTTTCGTGTTTTTAATGTGCGTAGCGATAAAATTTGATGTTAAAATAAGAATATGGTAGGATATCTTAAACATAATTGATAAATACATTTCTTTGTCAATTACAGATAATTTATCTTACTTGTCAATTACTACCTTTACTATGCGCAATTTCATTATTCACAACTTAATTGCATTTTATTCATGATAATCGTCTCATAATAAGTGGCACTAATCTTTATATTCTTGAACATCGTTGAATCGAGTGGAGTTGAATCTAGTCGCTATGAATCGAGCGCAATTGCTAGCCTAGCGTTGTGCGGACTGTTAGGCAAGTTAATTGACGACAATCGTTCTTCAAGAAGGCGTCAGTTTGCTCGACGATTGTTCAATAACAGTAAAGAGAATAATATAAGATAATGGCGTCACGTTTCTGTTTGATGATACTGGACTCAATGATTTCGGATATCACCAGCATGTAGTATTGACTGTCACGTTCATGAAATCTATATAACTTGTTAGGAATTGTCATTAAACTTATGGCGCACGCAAACTTGCGGAATTTAAACAGAGAAAGCTGCAACTTGTTAGAAATTGTCATTAAGCTTACGGCACGCAAACTCAATGTTTAATGATATTGTCCTCCGGATTTAACGATTTCGGATATTCCGGCATGTGGCATCGATTATCACGTTCGTGAAACCTACAACTTGTTAGGAATTGTCATCGAGCTTATGGCACGCAAACTCGTGAAATTTAAACGGAGTAAGCTTCACGATTATATGCACTCCGGTGTCATCGATAATCGCAATCTCGATCAGCATGCATTTTCTAATTGTGGAAAGTTTAATCGGATATACGCAATGCGGTAGTTCAAAATTTGTGCTGATGCAAGATCTAAATATGTTAAAATATATTATGAATAAAAGGAGGGAGGGAGGGAGAGAGAGAGAGAGAGAGAGAGAGAGAGAGAGAGAGAGAGAAAAAATAAGTAAATAAAACATGAAATAAAAATAGACAATAGAATTATACATAATTATATTTAAAATGTAAATACTTTTTTAAAATCTCATTCGTTAAATAAATCTTATTTGATTTTTAACAAATATAAAATCATGCTAAATAAAAAAAAGCATAAAGTAGATTCTAAAGAATGGAACAGCTTATATAACACATTTCGTTCTTTTGGTCCTTTGCAGGATACGCCTAAATATAGGAATCACTTAAAATACAAAATTTTAATAAGTACTTACGCAAACTTGACGTCTTGTCATCCTCTCTGTTACAGTGAGATTACATGACAGTATACAAGAGGAGAATTTCCATTATCTTGTCTTTGATCTGTAAGTACACCAAATTGTTGTATCTAGCTATTAAATCTAATTAAACTCTTTTATACATCTCTTTTGTGCGTGTGTGTTCTCTTTGATATGTTTATAAATTGATTGTTCTCTATAAAGCTCGAATGGTAGTAATTGAAATCTCGAATGATTATAATGACAATGCACAATTTATACAATTTATTTTAATAACATTTTTAACATTTAACATTTTTATCACTTTTGTATCACTTGCCGTTAAATGGTTAACCATTTGTATGTAAATTATGTATGTGTGTCTCTATCTGATACGTAACGAGAAGAAAATATTGTAATTGGCATTATTTGTTTGTGAAAAATTACAATTATTATTTCATTTGTATGTGGGAAGATGAAATATTTAAACAACAAAGATAGATAAAGGTATATAAGAGTCAAATACAAAATTATAGACAAGTCATAACATGATAATCCTTTAATTACAGAATCAAATAAAATATATATAAAATATTATCATCAAATTTCTAAACAAGATGAAATATTGTTATTTTTTAAAACACATAGTAATTCTAAAATTTATTATTTTTCCAAAAGAAAAGGAACGAGAATTTATATAACTATCTCTTTATTTAAAAAATTTTACATTTTCCATCCACATAATTATGGTGGGAGTACTCGATACGATTGAGCTAACAATAGACGTGATTCTCGAGTCATTGGTTCGTATTCAGAATGCGCTTGTAACAATGTTAACGCGCATTTAGCATACAATTTACATTACATATGCCATGGAGTTTCGGAAATAAAAGCGCGTATTTATCGATCAAAGCGCGTTCCGAATATGGGCCATCACGTTCATCTATTAGTCTCGATTCCACTAACAGGCTCCTAGCAGCAACGAACGACAGCGAGGCAATTTGTGAACTCTAATTGCATCAAGTAGATACCAATCTGTGGCCTTTTAAAATCGTCGGCGATCTACGCACGAATCGAGAAAGTATCGCGCCTAATTTAATTTCTGCACTAGAATACGTGACTACTCCCGTTCTTATATTTGTAACGTTAATTTATCGTATACCATAAATCTCGTATTTTTCTTTTTGCCATGTGGCAACTATATGACTTTGCTACTTTGCCACGTCGCCGATTAATCTACACGTTACAAAGGATTTTATTTCATCCCGTTTGTCTTTTGCTCAACTTTTTTTTACCAAGGCACGCCATTTTTCAGTTTCGTCTACTGAATTTTTAATATTTAAGCAGTTAATTACTTTTAATTCTACGCACACATTCAGGATATACGGCGTATTTTAATTTTTAATGCAGAACTTTTCTTTCATCTGTCATATGTCATGTATAATTTTTTCTTGTAAATTTTCTTTATCGTTCAGCTGTTATGTAGGCCTGTCGTATTTTAATGTAGGTAATAAATATAGCTACATATGCAGTAGTTGTCTTTAAATACTAATCAATGAGATTTTACGTGTATAATGTTGTAGGAGATATCTTGCTATATCTCGTATTTTTTGCACAACAAATACGAATACAAGCGGTATTGCGAGAACACGCTTACGTTATATGAAGCATTTACGAAAATTCACGCTACTTTTATTTTTCCGGGGTTAAACGTCCCGCTACTTGACGATATTGCTTTACCACGCGATCTCGCGACGCGCTCGCGAAATGGAATTGAAACGTAAAACGCTTACAGAGTCACCGGCGGAGAACTGTTCGAGGACATCGTCGCCCGGGAATTCTACAGCGAGGCGGACGCCTCGCACTGTATTCAACAAATCCTGGAAAGCGTTCACCACTGCCACCATAACGGAGTTGTGCACCGGGATCTGAAAGTACGTAGAGAAAAAGGGTCGAGTTTGTTGAGCGTACTGCGCGTTTGACGTTGAAATACAGCGAGCGAACGCCTGCAGCGCGGTTTATCCTTCTACAATGCACTTCCGTCCAATGCTTCATCTGCCTTTCGCGATTTCTATGGGATATTCCGGAAACTCTAATATGTACAATAATAATAGAAGACGGTATTTTTCATCGTGTTCTCGATCAGAGCTTAAAATTCGCTAACATTATCGATTTTCAGAACTCAGTAATTCCGTAATTTAGAGTCACATTTTCTATTAATTCCGATGAGAGGACGTATACTTTCCGTCTATTTTAATGTCAATGAAATCATACGGAATGTTTTTGAATCTTACTCGAGTGTCAGTCGAAATTTTGGTTAAAGAGTTAATGAATATCGACTCGATATCGAGCATTTAACGATGTCGACGGATCTGTTGCCATTTTCTGTTGCAGCCCGAAAATTTACTCCTCGCGAGCAAGGCGAAAGGCGCGGCTGTGAAATTAGCGGATTTTGGTCTGGCGATCGAGGTGCAGGGTGAAGCGCAGGCATGGTATGGTAAGTTGACTTTGCTTTTTTTGGTAAATTATAATTCGCTGAAATTTGTAATACTTAGTTAGACTTTGTCTTGACGCGTCGGTCTAATTCTAACGATGATCCAAGCGACCGAGCCATGCTAATTTGCGGGAATCTTTATAAGAAGTTTCTCGTATAGGAAGAAAAACATGCGTCATTTCACAATTCTTTCGTGATATTTAACTTCTGTTTAATAACGCGAATGTTCCATCTTTTTTCCTCGCAATCGGACAGGGGCCATTATAAAGATTAATAGCGAGAATTAAAATTGTGCAAATTTGAGAAAGATTAGCGTTAGTCACAAAAAGTCAGAACAGAGATATAAAAAAGTGACACATTGCGTTGAAATTTTCAGCGTGATTAAGAGATCAAACTACTAGGTCATTAAGTACGAAATGTCCGTTTTTCGTATTATTATTAATAATAGCCGTAAAAATTGAACGAAATTTAAATTAAAGAAAAGAATTTTAAAGCTTAAAATCTCTATTTTCAAAAGCCCGCTATGTTTTTTGAGTTTCAGCGACTTTAGTAATTTTTATATGTAAAACTATAAGCAGGATAAAATGAAATGTTTTTGTTATTTTGTGGGCTTGTCATGTGTTAAAAAAAATTTGTAAAAATATTCGACTTTCTAACATAAAAGCTCAAACTTTCCCTACAAAATCATTTTTTAAAATTGTTGCTAAGATTTTTTGTTACTGAGTTATCGTGGATTAAATGAAAAAAGCATTTCGACTTTAGTTACTCATAACTCCGTTAAAAATCGTCGTAACGCAATATAAAAAACAGATTCTCGAAGCTGAAATTTTGCTTTATATCGAATAGTATAATAATAATATAATAATAAATACTGTGTCACATTTTTTTAAAAAATGTGTAGACATTTCGTATTAACAATAATATGAAAAATTGACATTGGATACTCAATGACCTAATATTTCTCTCTTTAATATAAGCAAAATGATAGGATTCGCGAAATATCATTGCTCAAGTTGCGAACTTATCCGATACTATAATTTACAAGTGAAACATAGAGTTGCCCTTCTACGTAGTCTTCATTCAAATATCATCGCTATACAGTTGTAACTTGCATCTATATTTTCTTCGTATCGTATAACATATTATTTTCTTATGGTATGAAACACATTAGTATTAGCGTAATGCAAGAAATGTCAATGATATCGAAAAATTATTGCAAACTTATTCTAATAGAAGTACTATTATTTAGATTTTTTCATTAAAAAAGAATTTTAGAGAAAACTTTATATTTCTTTCTAGAAATAGAATTTCTTTTCTTCTCATATTTTTCTTTATTATTTTATTTCTTCTTTACTCGTTTTTATTTTACATATTTTCTTCGAGTATGTTTTTATATAAGTGTATTAACATTTGCTCGAGGGAGGAAAGTGAAAAAAATATTGACTGATGGCAGCCTTATCGTTAAAATATATATTTCGGGGAATTTCAGCAGATTTCATTTTTAAATCGTAAATCCATTGTTCTTATGAACTATTTCGCTGTTGACAGCACCTTCTGTGCGAGGCGTGAACTTGAATCTTTCTGTCTACTTTGTGCCTTGTCCATTTGATTTACATACATTGTGCACTCAAATGTCTATACGAGCCGGCATATTTGCGTGCCAGCCAGCTGGCTACTCGTTTTGTTCTTATTTATGCAAAAATACGCGTGGGGAACGTTTTCCGATAGCACGTTGAATTCTTCCGCGCATGCAGGCACTGCCATAAAGAAACTTCTGCTTGATTTTACATTCCTTATTGAATTCGAAGACAATCTTGCGGGAAATTTTTGTCTCAAACGTTTATTTACCGTGTGTAGCTTCTGTGATATTTTTAATGTCAAATATCTTAACTATATATAATATTCACTTAAATTCATATTAACGGTTACAAGATTTAATTGCATTGAGATTGTTTTGCCGATTTGTTGAGAATGCTTGAAATTTTTATTTTCTTATTTAAAAAAAATCACAAAATTATATACAAGCTTTTTGAGACACTTTGTGTAATATATTATCCTAATAGATCAGATATACAATTTTGTATCCCAGGAATACTTTTTTACTTTTTATCTTTATCGCCGCAATTGATTTCTTTCTTTATATGATACTGTAAAAGCATGCACTATACATTCGTCAAATCTATGTCAAAAATGAATATTATTCCACGTACATGGAAATTATATAGCCTGAGCGAGGCAATTAAAATGCAAAAGAGTAAAAGACGCCAAAATGGATAGTTTAATTGAAATACATTGAAATACATTACAATTGAAATACATTGTTCGAAAAATCAATATTTACTCAATTGCAGTTTTGCACAGAGCGAGTGCTTATTGGCTAAATGAAATAAATAATCACATGATGATTAAAATGTTCAGTCCAAAGGAAATGTGTTACTAGTTCTTGCAAGCAGATTTCTCTGTACACTTGTAATTATGACGGCATCCGTAACTGTATTATTTGTTTTTCGAGAAATTTACTATGTTTGCGGAAACATTTTTAGCGAATGGTTAGCAAAATACGTTGAGCCGAAGAGTCCAACGTGATCGTTGGCAGAATATTTTCGAGGGCAACCATAAACGATTTAATTGCTCAGTTGTGTTGCTTTCGCTGCGTCAAAGCACGACTGCGCTCTGACTACAATCATAACGGTTGTACAACGGCCATGTATGCTTATTGAAAATTAATTACACGTGGTAAAACGCGATAAAATCGCCAATGTAAAATTTAAAAAATACTGACCGAGCTCTCACGAAGCACGTGATTGCCCCAGTTTTTCGCGTATTATTAATAGCAAAAATTTTATCGCCCTTTTATATTTTTATTTTCACTATTGTTATTTAGATAGTTTTTAATACATTGTCTGAAGGAATAAATTTTGCATGATTCAAAATAAATATTTATTAACTTTTATAGTCACTTGTGAAATAAACCTAATATCTAATCAACGATTAGCGTAAAAATCTGTAATTTATGTTATTAAATTACTATACCTCGCGTAGAGATGCTTTTTCTGACCAATTATAGTGGTTATTAGTTTATTGCGCAAATTGTTTATAAATACATATTATATTTTAATGAAAACTGATACACAACAGCATGCATCGCCATCGATTATCTATAAAAATTACTAATATTTTATAAAAATGTCAATTTTACTTTAAAATTTTCCAACTAATTTATTAATAAATCAACAATCACACAAAAACGTAATAAAAGTTTGCGAGCGACTGTCGTGTTTGCTTTCTGAATGAGGGAAATTAATTGAAGCAATGAGTGATAATACTCGGAACGTGATTTCGCGCACGTAAAGCCTTGATCCCTTCGATCTTACGGCGTGGGTCGTGTCCTTCAAACGGGAATGAACCTAAATGATTCATAAAAAGGTTTCGCTGGAACGCCCGGCTATCTCAGTCCGGAGGTGCTGAAGAAAGAGCCATACGGAAAGCCAGTCGACATATGGGCGTGCGGTGTCATACTGTACATCCTCCTGGTCGGTTATCCACCCTTCTGGGACGAAGATCAGCATCGACTCTATGGGCAAATCAAGGCCGGATCATACGATGTATGTATTATAATGATTTATTCAGTTTTTTTTAGATTTTATATCAACGCAAAACTGAAAGAAAAGCGATACGTTAAAAAAGTAATTTATTGAAGACATTTCTATATGTTAAATTGATTGAAAAGAACGCTTTCTGTCGATTGTTTACATTTACTTGCGTAATTATCTTATTATATTTACATACAGAATTATAACTAACTTCTTTACGTTCGTTTTGTGTATAGTATCCGAGTCCAGAATGGGACACCGTCACGCCGGAAGCCAAGAACCTTATCAATCAGATGCTGACGGTGAATCCAGGAAAGAGGATCACTGCCAGCGAGGCACTGAAGCATCCATGGATCTGCGTAAGTTTATCTTATCAGGGTCAACAATTTCGTTCAAATTTATATTACACGTTTACATAATTCAGAAAGTAACTTAATCATATTAGAAAATATCAGATTATATCATATTAGATTACTATAGCAAAGAGATCTTATTGCACGCGAGTATTGCATTTATATATCTACGTAATATTACGTAATGTATTGTACATCATATCTATATATGCAATTTAATATATTAAAATACGGTAGTTATTTGAATTGGATAGATGAAAAATGTGTACTTATATAGATTGATAAAATAACGAGATATATCTTTTTATGGATAATAGTAACGCAAGTTAAACGAACATAATTTGACATTTTTTTTTTCGTAGCTTGTCTCTTCTTTGCATAAATAGGATTTTATTTTTAACGAAACGTGCGAAACTTAAGATTTAATCTTGGGTAACTCGAATCATTCTCTCTTCGAACGATACCTGATACCGTTTCCTGTTTACTTTGTGTTTCAGCAACGTGAGCGTGTTGCATCTGTGGTGCATAGACAAGAGACCGTGGATTGCTTGAAGAAATTCAATGCAAGGCGCAAGTTAAAGGTGAGTTTTTTTTTCTCAAAAGTTTTGTCCTATGTATATACATTTATTTAACATGATTACCTATCATTGTCTTAAATTTTACTATATTTTTTCGACAACGATTTCGGAATTTTCCATTATAAATTTGTGGTTTGTTATTTAAACGGCTCGGTTATTTCAAAAATCCAGTTACTGCGCAATAAATGAAAATACATTTTTCTATTTGCATGAAACAGTAAAATTTAAAATAAAAATCGAGACTTCATGTATATCACGCGAATTTAACCGTTTAAAAATACAAAATACACTTTATACTCATTCGGACAAACAATCGTTTTGTTATCTTCTATAATTTCACCGTTTCCAATGTTGCATTTGTCTTAATTAGTAGTCGGATTATATTTGATCCGAATAATCGTTAAATTACGAGATAAATGGAAATGGAAATTCGCAAGAGGTTCATTTCGGGAAATGTATGAATATATAGGAATATGGTATATATACGAATACAGGCTTTTATGGGAGTTGTCGAGAGATTTGTCGAAATTTGTTTGATTCGCGATTATCAATTGCTAATTTTATAGTTCACGGAAATGTATGACGGTAATCGCGCCGTAAATTCTCATTCTCGCCGGCCGCAAAATCTCATATATTAGCTCTGGCCATTTACAAATGCAAATTCCATTATGTCCGCTTATCACATTGCGGTCTGGATTGCGTCCGTGCGGAGCTGCGGATGTTAGTAACATCTGTAAAATTAGAACGTCACATGACGCATCGTGGCCGGAGATATAGTAAATTCTTATCAATTCTTTCTTGGGAAACATTATGGAACAAGAAGTTAATTTCGCTAAACATACATTATAACATTTCAAAAAAAATTGCTGAACTTGTTAAAACGTAAATTATATATACGTGAAAAATATCTTGAAGAAAAAGAAGAAATTTTTTTATATATAAATTTTACTTTTTTTAAATAACATACGTAGTTCTGTGCATCGTCTACGTAACTCCTTTTTTTATTGATGATGAATAAGTAATAAAAATTGTAACGTTTTTGACTATTTACGGTCTCAAGATTCTATTATACTAATATTTCAACATTAAAACAATGGACATTTCAAGTGATTTATGATTTATGTAAGGAAGTAATTAAAATGTGAAAAAAAATTAGTACCGAATTTCGAAAATTTTTAAAGCAAAGTGATAAGCTCCTCGATTCGATCAGGAATTAATAATGTCTCCCTACCTAGCCGTTCCTACGGCACTGTTGTTCGACAAGTCACTGACGATTAAACGATGGCACGCATCGAGCAGTACTACTCCACTTGTCGTTGCAATCGCCGCACTCTCGACGCGGTGTACGAGAGCGGAGAGTACCGCTTTCGTATCAGAGCCAAGTGTGTTATAACGTTCGTCCGTCGTTATCGGAATGCGTCGAAAACTTGAGACACGTGCGAGGACACTCTCTCAAAGGATTTGATTGACTGTGAAACTGAGAATGCAAAAATTCCGCGAAACATTGAACGTTTGTAAAGATATGGGAATACGTGAAAAATTCAATTATAATATGTTTTAAGTTTCATTCGATTTCGTTGATTTTATCGAGAATTAGCGTACAAGTGAGCAGTGCGACCTGTAATATTTTTTTTTAAGTACGATTGTAATTCTTGTTTGGATGGTTATATAGTTCATGACATTTACAAATTTTTTTCTAGATACAGAATTTCAGGAACGCGAACTCGTAATAACTTTTTGTGTTACAAATATTTGTTTTAATTCTTTTTTTAAATTCTTGCTATATGTATTTTCTTTTATTGTATTTGTACGTTGAGTTAGAAATTTTGAAGGAGAAAATATATTTCAAATATTTTATTTTAAAAGTTATCGCGCTATTTCAAATTAATTTTAATATCTATAAAAATATTATATATTAATGCAATTATATCTTGATTAAATATGGGTTCATATATCATTTGCTTTTTTAATGTAAAATTACACTTGGTTAACTATAGCAATGTCTATTGAATTTGAATTGAACATTGATTTGTAAGAATTATGTTCTTGTAAGTTACGAGTAGAATTGGATACGCAATTTCGACCTATTTCTTCATGCTTACAGTCTCAATTGAATGATATAATCACGACAATACTCGTATAGTAGTCGTTCAATGCCCGAACAAAGCGCAAAGAAAACGTTTCATTATTTGATATGAACGACGGCGCATGAACGGTTATTAAACGTCCAACAGTAATGGCTCGCAATCGCGATTAAACAACACGTGCGCAAGTCTTATCGTTCATGTGCATGATATTTGAATTGTACTTATGGTTACTGTGGTTAATATGGTAACATACGGTTATATAATTCAATAGCGTTTTTAATATCAGGAACAAAGTATGTTTCTTTGTAAACGGAAAAAAAGGTATTGGCTCTTGCAGAAAGATATACATATTGATGTTTTAATATTAGAAAAATCTCGTTATGATTTATGTTACTTTGATTATATTACACTTTGTGAAAATTTAATTAAATAATTTTTTATGTGTGTATGCGTGTGTGGGTTAAATATTATTTTTTATATAAAATAATGAAGAGATATTAGTAATTACATTTGCAGAAACTGAGCTGTAATTTTCTATATTAAATGGATTTTAATGTTGTTGAAAAACGACGACATTACTATAATGTTTATAAGTATTATATTGTAAGATAATTTTCACGCGTTGAGATGAGAATAATGCGTTTTCAAAACCGGCTCGAATTACATTAAAACTTGCTGATCTCGCGAATGAACTCGGTCGTTATCTTAATAACAGTCGACGATAGGAAGCACGCAAAATCGATCAAGTTCATGTTCGTCTATACCCCTGTGTGACGTAATTATAATTGGTTACCTGGGTTAATTTATTCAGTCACGGCGATCATATTTTTTGCGCGAGGTTGTCCCTGTGAGAATCGAATACCATTGCAAGCCAATTATCAGTCTCCTCCATAATGAAAATGAACGAACGGTATATATAAACTTTGAAAGTATTTAAAAAATTGTAATTTCAATAATACTGCCTATGATACCTTATTTCTTTTAATTTCCATTTATAATCATTTATATTATCCTGTCAGATAATAAAAACAAAATATAATTTTGAAAATAAATACTTCTTTGTTATATTAATTGGTAAAAAATGGTTTCACTGTTGATCGGTGAAATCAATATGCAATTATATAACAATGATAGATTTATATCTTTTTCTTTATATGGCGTGATAAAAGTATTATACCATTTTCTTTTGTCATGATTTTAGCGCAACGATGACTTGATTTTATCAATATTATGCAATAACAATAGATAAATCCATGTTTATATTGAACAACATAATTAGAAAATTTTGTAATTTATATTATAATTTACATTACTTGACTTGGAGACATTGATAATGCGGTTTGTCATAAAGAATAAATTATCTTATAATTATCAATTTATATTCATTATTATAGAATCAATGAGTTTTGAGATACTTACGAGGCCTTGCTCTTCTATCGTGTTTCTTCAAGTACCAGTTTTATCGAAATAGTAGCGAACTCGCGTTAGAGGCAGGTAATCAGTCAAGCACATAGAAATGACAGGGACGTCGAAGCAACCAGCTGAATACTGATTAAATCCTGACTCATAAAAGTGCAAATGCCCAGTGAGGAAGTTTAATGACACCTTCCTCTTGTTCGTTCGTTTGTTCTCGCGCAGATTGAGACATGCGAGCACTGAGGAATAAATTTATGTTGTGCAGACAATAGGTGGCAACCGTGTCCGAGGTAATGAAATTTTAATCACTGTCAGTTTGACGTCTGGCAATGTTTTGTCGTTCGCCTTAGCATTAGATACGGCGAGGGGATAATGAATATCGATTATACGACACTTTCACGATATTTATATTGTGTTTGTTATATACAGATAACGTAGAATTATTTAGGACTGCAAAACGTTCTGCAGATGTATTGAGTACAACAACACTCATCGAGTTGCACAAGTCGAATGATTTTCAATTAGCGTTCTTCGTTACTTTGTATATCTCTAAAAGTAATAATACGGATAGAGGTTGATATAGATCAAACGATGAAAGGGGAGAAGTGTTTCAGTTTTTGTGTAAAAACGCCTTTACATTATATTATGACAAAAACGGAATATTCGTTTTAATATGAAATATTTTGGTGACAAGAAGTAAAAATTAATTGTTTTACCTTTTCTCTCTCTCTGAAAGGATTCCTATTTGTTTTTATTTCGATTATTGTTATATTTTCATTGTTTGTCTTGATTGATTTAAACGCATTAAAAAGTATGTAATTAGCCATACGCAAATTTGCAGCTGCCAGTTTGTCTAGCGTTTAATATATGTGATTAAATCAGATTTATTAAAATTCCCAAAGAGGGGAGATGAAAGAGATAAAATTGCACTTTTATGACTGAAATGTGTTGAATGAGATTTGAAATTCGTAAGGTATCTTTAAATAACTGTGGAGAAGAGCATGAACATTGTCTTTCAAATTATGCGGTCGATAATTGTTGCCGTGTAAAAATTTGACTTAATAAAAACCAATTTCGGGATTAATACAATTTTGACGCTATTTCTTTTTTAGAATTCGATAATATTCTGCTCGTACAAGAGATCTAGATATCGATAAATCCCTATCAAGACTTTATTCAATTAGTCGCGTAATTTGAATGTAAAATGGAAATGAACAATATTACTAATCAGGCGTGATTTGGAACAGACGGACGAGATAAAATATCGTTTCATTTTAGAGATAACAGACGTGAAATATTCGTCCGATTACATTTGCGAATCTCGTTCGACGGACGGCCTTATTACATAAAGTTCGGCGACGCATCTCGAACTGTTTGCTATGGAACACAGTGAAATGTTGTCATTCTGTGCGACAATGTTCCCAACTTGCCGCGAATGTCACCAAGCTTGAAAGACGAGAGTTTACGAGTAAACTTCAACCCGAAACTTCGTATAATCATTTCACTCTTAAGGTCGCCTATCAGTCACGGACTCGATGTCTGCGAATTATTTCCCGTAATTAAAAGCCTATCATGATGCCACAGTTTAAACTTTTCTCGGACGTTTATCATAATCGTGCACACACGATTGACTCCTATTGATCTTCTTGTAAGTCAAATTATAATAGATTAATCGATAACTTAACCTAATACGTATGTGTGTGTACACATCTTATTTTATTTTTACGAAGGAACAAAGTTTGTACTGCCATTAAGAATTTGTCTATCCTTTTACGTCGTGTTTGCTTTACTTTATTGATATTATCTGACAGCGAAAACTGATGGTATATTCGTCTTTCCTTTTTGCTTGCAGGGCGCTATATTGACGACCATGCTGGCGACGCGGAACTTTTCCAGTAAGTATGATGCACAGGGTAAGTACCTCCGGCCCTCTCTTCAGCGCTCTACACGGACCACGACAGACAGTACTTTTATATCTTCCGTTAAATTTTACATCTCCATGTCTCTGTATACATTCCTTCAACAAGCCATCTTAACAAAATTACATCTCTCTCTGTCCTTTTCTCCTGTCGTTTATTCGTCTTGCACTCTCGCCACATAGAAGAACTATTCATCTGTCTTTTCGCTCTTTTCGAGAGGTGCTTTATAATGCAGTTGTGCAGTGTCGTCATTATTAAGTATATTATATCTTACACCACTGTTATCTTACATCACAATGACAAACTGTCAATTTTATTATGACAGTTATAAGGATTAAATCTTTTTGCATCAAATTCTTCTGTATTGATATATTTCCTTCTCATAGAAACGACTGCAGAATGGAGCACCTGTGTATATCTTTGCTCGTGCACAGAAATAAATTAGAGCCCTTTCTTTGACAACCCCTTATATGAAATGATCGAAGGAGCGAGGTTGAGCAGGAAATTAAATTATAACAATAGCATGATGGTAATGGATAATTGATCGTATCGATTATCCGAAGATCATTGCACACATGCGGGTTTCGCGGCTAATTTAAGTGCTTATTAAACAAATAATCATATTTTATCCTCGCTCACTCGGCATATTGGTTATCACGATATGATGTTCATCCCTATACCTATTTCGTATACTTTATATAGTCGATGCACATGGCTCGCACTTCATATCCTGCAAGGACTGTGGCACGTTACCCAGAGCGCAAGAATTTACAATTAGTTGTTTACATTGGATATATATGATTTGTTTTATGTCGTATATAACATAACTTATGCCACAAATATAACTCTCATCATAGAAGCAAGCAACTATATCCCAAATTTTAATCCTTTCGTTGCAGTATCAAATTGTTTTTTTTTTTTTATAGTGAAGAAAACGAAAATTGTAATTGTATATCGATCACTTTTATTATATCTACATAAACTATAAATGATGCAAAGCAACATTTATATGTATTAATAAAAAAAATATGTTTATTGTTTATGAAACTGTTTCCTGCATTCAAATGTTTGTATATAAGTGTATGAATAATGAAAGGATTAAAAGAAAATATGCATTTTTACAATCGAGAATTAAGGTATTGAACTCCACGCACATACACGTCTTGCGAAACGAAAATTCTGGGTAACGCAAATTGTCGTCGCAGTGGACTCAAGCAGTTTTCTCTTTCATCGAATCGCCATCGTTATCACTCCATCGAAAAATAATTTGATGCAAGGTAGGCAAATCATTGGGTTATGTTGTGTTTCTTCAGAACATTCTTTCAATCGCTATCGTTTAATATATCAATCAATCGTTTAATATATCGTGAGCGATCATTTATCGTAAGAATTACAACAACACTCGGGGGTCTCTGGAAGTTTAGTAAAATTCAAATCAATTAGATCCGCTGTACATCCATCTAAACGCATTTGTTAACAAATTTTATTGTCTTTACGAAATTTTTTATTGAAAATTGCTTATTCGAAATTCCTATTAAAAGATTTGTTACAATCTTTTATCCAAGCTTATAAGAATAATGTACACTGTACACGAAATATAATAATATAAAATTGCGGGTTATATCTTAACACATACGTGATGAGATATTACATACTTGTGTCATCGATAAAATTGATAAAAATTGCAAAATCTATATGTGCATTTTACGTCTCGTATTTAAAATGAATAATTGTTTTGTCTCGATATTTTATTGGCTTTTATTCATTCTCGAGAAAGAACATACGTGAGAATTGTGAAATATGGGAAAACGTGGAAATAATTGGACGGTCATGTCGTCGTAATAATGGTTAATAGTAAACAAGTAGTTTATACTAGATATCACGAAATCTCCAACTACACGGGACGTATTGAACTTACTACAAAGCTGGCGAAGTCAGCGCAGAATAATCAATCAAGTTAATCCGATCCATTTGTCTCAAAACAGTCTACATCGATATCAATTACCGCTAATTTTCGATAATCGATTTCTTAATGTTATACGTTCGATTATGATTGGAATGAAAAAAATTTAATTAGAAACGTAATTGGAATAAAGTGATAAATCGAAATTAAGATTTTATAAAATAATAACGCAACGCACACAGCAATAACTTATTATAAATAATTTTATGATTATGCAGGAAAAAAAACGCGTAATTATGTGCTAAATTGCGACTTTTAAGAATTAGATATACCGCGAATGCGAATATTTAGTGAAATTGAAAAGATCTATGAAAGAGGCGAAAATCTTCAACGGATCGAAACGAAAAATAGCTCAACTGTTTCGGTCCACTAGCGAAATTCCTCTATGAATGACTGTACGTTTTATCAATGTTGATTATATTTCCATATGTTTGGATCAATGGTTTCCAAACTTGTCACTTTTCACTTCATAATTGATATGTCTTCTGTCTCTCTTATTTTTAGAGAGAGAGAAAGAGAGAAAAATAAGTGAACACATTGAGAATATAAGGTTTTTTCAAAGGTGATAGATGAATAATAGAAAAGTATATATGTTCTGCTAATTAATATATAAAGTCTAGAAGAATACTATCACAATTAAAATTATAGAAACGACTGCTTAATTTTTCTTTTCTCAAATTAAATTAAAAGAATATACTAATTATTGTATATGTTCAATATATATCTTCAAGTTTAATCATCTGTTTTTCTGAAAAGATTCAGTCGTTTTAGTTTGGAAACTCTTGATCATTGGATTGGATACAATCCTAAATTTAGATCAAATTGCGCTTTTTGACCTTTATTCGTATTAAACATATTTGATATTTGAAACATATGAAAAATGTTTTAAAGTAAATTTAATTTTTATTATAGATGTCATCGATATCTGTCATCGGTTTATATAAAAATATTGAAGTATTACATAGATCTTCGTTGTATTCTTTAAAGGTTAATAATAAATTATATTGCTTGGAACATAATAAAAGTATTAATAGAAAGTTGTATATTTTATAATTTATGAAAATTTTTTCATAAATAATAGTTATACCATATTTGTATTTTTATAAAGTACATATAATACATAAAAAATTAACAAATTATTACAAAGGTAGTAAATTATATGCATAAATTACAAATTAAAAAAGAGAAAGAAATTTATTTAAATAAACAACATCCTCAGCTGTGATTTGTGCAGCATCAGTTCCAGTTTTTTCATAAAAAAATGAAATTGTTTTTTTAAGAAACGAGTGCGAATATGGGTCATTATAGGCATTGCATATATGCATACATATATATATTATATATAATATATGTACACATCTCGCCATTATTTGCTCGAATAGCGTAAATACGGATTCGTTCCACACCCGTAATAGTTGTTTGACAGATAATATGTCACATTATGTATGGCATATGCGTCTATACATATATGTTTGTACATACGTATGTACATATATGTATAGCTAACCGAAGAACATCCCTATAGAGTGTGTCTCGCCCCTTGCCCCTCTTTTAGATTGACAAGTAGCCAAGCATCTTGCATTAGTAGATTCGATGATACACACGTGTACTTACTATGTATCTGTATAACACACGTGCGTTTTATTTTCTACAATCGGTGTTAGAGTATGTACATATACGTGTCTATGTCTATTTTTGTAATTTTTAATGATATTTCAAGGATATGCTCACATATTTATAGAATGTCGAGTAGTTTGTGTAATTCGTCGCGGGTTGCTGGATTAACAATTACAGAGATTACTTTGAATCGAGAATATACATGATACTGAAAAATTCTGCGATACTCTTATGCCTGAAAGACTTTCTATTGTGACAAAAATTTAATTCATCTATGTCGAAAAAGTTCAAATATGATACGATCGTATTTATGTCCAGACATTTGGTATAGGAGATACCAAATTTTTCTTCTATTTTACTGCAGTTGAGAATTTAAAACTGTATTACTCTATAATTCTATATGGTTGTAGATAAAGTGAAATTTTTTATATACAAAATATCTCTGTTAAACTTGTGAATATTTTATTTTTTTTTTAGATCTAGTTATCTTTATACAGTATTTATTGTATTTTTAATCTAGTATTATAAATAACTAGATCTGAAAATATAAAATAAAATATTCACAAATTTAACCGAGACATTTTGTACATAAAAAATTCCACACTTTATCTATTATATGTATAACTATATAAGATTGTACAATCTTATATAAATTCTCAATTTTACTAAAACACAGAAGAAAAATCTGGAATTATCAATTTTTTAGAATTTATATTCGACGTATCATTTTTGCGGTAAAGACATTTTTGTTACGCTTTTAATAGTTATTTTATAATACTCGGTCTTATATATTGTGGCTGAAAATTGTTTTCTAGTGAGATGATACCGTTTTTATTTATATATAATACATACGAACGACTGTTCTTTCACCCGCTCATCCTGTATTTGGCGCGAGTCTTTATTCGAGTGACTGCGAAACAATTAACTCTCCGTCTTCTCACGTCTTGAGTTTTCTTCTTATGCCCTTCTCCCTCCCTTCTCTCTTTCTCTCTCTCTCTCTCGTAGAAACCGTCGCCAAAGCTCGAACTTTGACTTTAATTAAATTTATTTCATCGCCTTGAGAACCGACTCTCAAACTGTAAGCTCTTCCAACTTTTCCGCGCTCCCCTCTTGGCACGCGACTTCATTCCCTACTTCGGATTTACCTTTTGCTCTTGGGAGAGGGAGAAAGGCTATTATCCTTGAGCTTCTGGTACACTGTTATTATGGAAATCGGCTTTAAGAGCTCCGCGACAAACTCCGGACGAAATACAGATCGATGGTTTGTTTAGTTGAATTGCTTTTCACGTCGTATCTTGATCGCGATAGCTTACGGTAGAAGAACCGATCTTGCAAGAATAATAACTGTCGAAAGAGTCTGTTTGAAAAAACAGTATTACATTTTATATTACGCGTTAATAAATTTGATTGAGCG